GATATTATTTTCCAAAATTAATATTTTACGAGGCTAAAATAGGCTTAACCCTATTTTGAGTCTATAAATTGATTGATTATTTAAAATAATGAAAGTTAATAATATAATATAACTGGTCAAGTAGTTACTAAAAATACAAAACGACCTAACTATTTCCCCCTTCAAATTAATTTATTACTAACCTTTGTTGCATTTTTAGTCTATGGCCGAGGTACCTATTCTCTCTCATACGTATATCAATCCTTCAATTTGTTGTTCCTATTTTTTTAATTAGTTTGTTTGAAAAAAAATGTCTATATCCTTTTTAACAATTCTTTAATTCTAATTTTTCACATGACAAATTTCAGAATTTAAGATTAAACGGTGTTTTGATACATATAAGTTATAACATATCTTTAATTCAAGACACAAAATTCAAAAATATTTTTTTACTTTCAAAAATTCCGTACCAAATCAAAATAAGACAAACAAATTAAACATAACAATTACTAAGGCAATTGTTTGAAGTAGTACTGGGTCTCATCCCAATTCTTTGATCTCATCTTGGACAATTTTTAAATTTTGAACTAACTTTGGGTAAGGTTACTACGTACCTAATTATATATATGAAGTGTATATGAGACAATTAATACGGTTATGTCTTCAAATAATATCATATGTAATTAAATTGTGTTGTGTGAAAGGTAATCAACATAAGGAAAGTTGGTTTTCAAGAATGGTTATAAAATTTCTTTAATCTATTCTTAATGAGCCACATATAAAAATTATATAAGCATAAAATCGACGATTAACCTTCTTGCAATGAAGTAAATTAACGACCTATCTTCTTGCAATGAAAAAGACATCATATCAAATCCCCAGACGCGTTTTTCTTTTCTATAAGACTTTTAGTAGAAAATTTTGCTATAAATATGGGTATAGGGATAACATAGTCTTGCTGGTTGAATATTTTTCGTTTTTGTTTGACTATCTCATGATCTTATCTTAAAGAGATTATAACAATGGTAACTTGCAAGGTTCAAACAGTTCGCTTATATTGATTTTTCTTTTAAATAAACTAGGGGATGTAAAAACACCTAAAAAGCTATTATAAAATATCTTATTTGGTATGCGGAAAATATTTTTCATCAAAAATATTGTTTCTTATTGAAGAAGGCATTACATAGTTAGTTACAATATAGTTAGGATCATTTTGTAAATAACAGAAGTTAGAGGACTGGCAAGTAAGGAGTTAGATTAGTTACAATAGTATTTCTCTCATTGTATAAATGTACAGAGCTTCCAAGTTTGTATTAATTAATTCAGTTCATGAAAAGTAAATACATCTGGGTTCTTTCTCTCTGCATCTGAGAACATTCTAGAGCAACAGGAAGTGTTCTTCAAGCTATCTTCCTCAAGATAGCTAACATGGTATCAGAGCCTATGCTCTAAACACGAATTGCTTAATCAATTCACTGAGTAGGATCAGGCGAAGCCATGGCAACCGTCAACAATGAGCTGCCAGAGAAGTTGAGCCACAATCATCCACTCTTTCTGCACAATATTGACAATTCAGGAGTTCTGCTCAGTTCAATTCAATTGATTGGAGCTGATAATTTCTCTGTATGGAGTCGAGCAATGAGAATTGCTATAATTGGTCGTAATAAACTTGGATTTATTGATGGTTCTTGCAAAAAGGACTCATATGGTCCAAATCTGGAGAATCTATGGGAACGTTGCAATGCAATGTCTTGTCATGGATCATGAATTGTGTTTCGAAGGAATTACTTGGAGGCATTGTCTACTCTACGAATGTTGCTGCTGTATGGAAGGTTCTGACAAAACGATATGACAAAATTGACGGATCTCGCAATTTTCAGATGCACAAAGAGATTGCTATTGTCTGTCAAGGTACTAGCTTAATCTCAGCCTATTTCTCTAAACTGCGTGAACTATGGGTAGAGTATGATAGTATAGCTCCTGTCCCTCGCTGTGATTGTGTCAATTCGAGAGAGTTTGTAGTGTTTATGAACAATCAAAAGTTGCTTCAATTTCTTATGGGGCTTAATGACTCTTATGAGCAAGCTAGGGGACATATTCTAATGATGGTACATTTGCCTTCCATAAACAAAACCTACTCACTGTTGATTGAAAGAGAGAGCCAGCGTATCATCTCTCAAACATCTAGTAGTTCTAGTTCGTCGGAGCTAAGTGCAATGTTTACAACTGGTAACAGTTCAGCCCCTATGACTAAGCCTAAGCCTTATACTAGCTCTAGCTATGATCCAAATGCCTTTTGTGACTATTGTAAATGAACTGGACATACTTAAGATGTGTGTTATAAACTACATGGATATCCTCCTAGTTATGAAAGGAAAATGAAAGGTCCTAATAACTCCTATGGGAGAGGAAGAAATCCTAATGAAAGAAGACCATATCCAAATACTCACAATGTGATTGGTGATGCTGATCTAGACTATGGCAGCAGTATGAATCAGAGATCACAGGATAATGGCAGAGGTTCTAGGCAAACTGAACATACTGATTACCACAAAGGTATGACTGTGTTACATCAACAATATAATCAAATATTAAACATGCTTGGTTAGTCTAATATACAGGGTGGTACTGAGGCAGCACCTCCTCCACACTCTGCCAACTTAGCTCAGGACAATTACTCTTCAGCAGGTAATGCAACTGCTCTAACAGCTAATTCTACACACACTGGTTGGATTGTAGACTCTGGTGCAACCAATCATATGACTCCTCACTTAGCTATGCTTGACCAGAAACTCCAAATTCCCATTGATAAACATAGGGGGTACAATTACCTAATGGTGATACTACCATCATCACACATACATGCTCATGTAATTTGACTTCCAAAGACATTATCAAAAATGTTCTTGTTGTCCCTGATTTTAAATACAATCTACTCTCAGTATCACAACTTACTAAATACTTACATTGTGCAGTGTGTTTCTTTCCTGATTTTGCTATCATTCAGGACCTCTACAGTGGGTAGGTGAAGGTGATTGGTAAAGAAAATGCTGGTCTCTATCTTCTTCCTGCTCCTAACTTCCACTCAGACAAACCAATCAAATCAGCTCGAGATGCTGATCATGTAACTGAAGCTCAAATTCTATTGTGGCATCAAAGGCTAGGTCACACTTCTTCCAGTGTGCTTTCCCATGCTCTTGATCTTCCTACCAGTCAGTGTTCCAAGGAGATTATTAATTGTCTTGTTTGCCCTCTAGCTAAACAACATAGATTACCTTTTTTCACATAGTACTTCTATGTCTTCATGTCCTTTTCATTTGCTTCATATAGATGTTTCGGGTCCCTTTAATACTCATACATATGATGGTAATAGATTTTTTGTTACCATTGTTGATGATTGTACTCGAATGATGTGGTTGTTTCTAATAAAAGTGAAAAGTGATGTTTGTGTTGTCTTGAATAACTTTTTCACCTTAGTTAGAACTCAGTTTAATGCTGTGATTAAAACCATTCAAACTGATAATGGCTCTGAATTTGTCAACACTGAATGTCAAAGATTATGTATAAGTCTAGAAATTGTTCTTCAGAGAACATGTATTCATACTCCTCAGCAAAATGGGATTACTGAAAGAAAGCACAAACATATCCTTAAAGTGGCTAGGGCAGTCAGATTTCAATGTCACATTCCACTACAGTTTTGGGGACATTGTATTCTTGCTGCTGCTTATATCATCAACAGGTTGCCAACACCTGTGCTCCATGACAGATCCCCTTATGAAGTTTTTCACAACATCAAACCTTCTCTTCATCATATGAGAGTTCTGGGATGCCTATGTTTTGCTAAGAATATGTATATTCATGACAAGTTTCAGCCTAGGAGTGTGACTGCCATTCATATGGGTTATAGTGCACATACTAAAGGATATATTCTCTACAACATCACAGACAGTGTGTTCTTTCTCAGCATGGATGTGTTGTTCAAAGAGTTTATTTTTCCATTTGCTGCACCTTCCACTACTGCCTGGCCTCTATTTCCTGCAGCTACTACATTATTGATGAATCCCATCCTGATATTGTTGATCCAGTTGTTCCATCAGCACTTCCTATAGTTGTACTTAAGTCTGTGCCTGTGGTTTCTGATGTGAGAAGGTCTCAGAGAACTACTAAAGCCCCTTTGTGGTTACAAGACTATGAAGCATTTGCTCAGCTCAGTTCGAGCAACAAACTATATTCCATTGATAAATATATTGGTTATAATCACTTGACCCCTCCTATCAGGCCTTTCTATCTTCCTTTGGTTCTGAGGCTGAACCTGCCACTTTTGAAGAAGCTTGTAAGGATCCTAGGTGGGTTGAAGCTATGCAGGCAAAAATTTCACCTTTGGAGGCACATCACACCTGGATGGTGGTCCATTTACCTCCTCACAAGAAAGCTATAGGATGCAAATGGATATTCAAAATCAAGTATCAAGCCTCTGGCCAGGTTGAAAGGTTCAAGGCTAGACTTGTCGCAAAGGGTTTTAATCAACATGAGGGCCTTGATTACAAGGAAAAATTCTCCCATGTTGTCAAAATGGTGACAATTAGGAGTGTGTTGGCCCTTGCAGCTGCTGAACATTAGCATATCCATCAGATGGATGTATCCAATGCCTTCCTTCAAGGTGACTTTCTTGATGAGGTGTATATGACCCTTCCTCAAGGCTTTCTACTTCGTAAGGGATTTACTGTGTAGGGGGAGAAACCAGTGTGTAGGCTCACTAAATCCATGTATGGACTAAAATAATCCCCTAGACAATGGAATGTGAAACTCACAGATGCACTTATTAGACTTGGCTTTGTTCAAAGTCATTTGGATTACTCATTGTTTATCAAAAGGGAATGCACCTATATGGTTACAGACAATGATCTCAGTCTCATTCAACATACCAAAAAAATATTACATGATACATTCAAAATGAAAGACCTGGGGATCTTAGATATTTCCTTGATATTGAGTTTGCTAGATCACAAAAAAGAATTGTAATGCATCAGAGAAAATACACTCTTGAAATCATATCTGAAGTTGGTCTTGGTGCTGCTAAACCAGCTTCAACTCCTTTTGATCCATATGTACAGTTAACTACCAAGGAGTATGATGAACAATATGGGATAAACAAGGAAGATAAACTACTTGAAAATCCATCAGTTTACAGGAGATTAGTTGGGAAACTGTTATATCTAAATATCACTCGACCTGACATTACATTTGCTACACAGACACTAAGTCAATTCCTACATCAACCTAAGCAGTCTCATCTTAATGCTGCTCTTAAAGTAGTCAAGTACATCAAAGGTGAAGCAGGCCTGGGTGTGTTGTTTTCCAGCAAGAACAACAACCAACTAAAAGTCTACTGTGATTCAGATTGGGGGGCATGCTTACACACAAGAAGATCAGTTACAGGATTTATGGTGAAGCTGGGCGAGTCTCTCATATCATGGAAATCCAAGAAACAAGAAACAATATCGTGAAGCTCAGCTGAAGTTGAGTACAGGAGTATGGCAAGTGCAGTAGCTAAAGTGGTCTGGATAGTGAAGTTGTTCAAGGAATTAGGAGTTGAAGTTCAAACTCCAGTTACCATCTATAGTGTTGTGAATGAGACAATTGTTGACTGGGATACCACTCAGGATGAGCACGTGGGACTGCCACGTAAGACTGCTAGAAAGGTCATTCCTCCTAAAAGACTTGGTGATTACGTGTGGAAAGGGGGAAGTTCACGTAAAAAGGGGTAAAATTGGCAAAGCAGTAGGCATAAAGCATCGTGAGTGGAGCAGTGTAGGGCAGAGTACTTTTTGTTATCACTGGACACTCTTTCTCTCTCAATTTCTTCTAAGTTCCTCACCTCCTTCTTCTTCTATCATTAATTTTGCTACTCCTGCAATTTCCTCTTGTATTTCTGATTCTAGGGACTTCAATATATCTACTACTTGTAAGTTGAGATAAAGGGTATTAATATAAGTGTAGTTGGTATTTCACTGTGTCAATTCTTTACATTGGTGCTTTCATCCAGAGGTCTTCCATGGATGACCAAAGACACAAGTCACTTGTTGAAGAATCAGTTCAGGGTATGAAGGACTCCATTCTCGCAGATATTCGCTCTTTGTTACTGGAAGTGGTAGGAAGCAAAACCCAGCGCCCAGAGAGGGACTCACATGATGACCGTTTTCCGACAGCCCCTAACCCCCGTCACAAGCCAGCTTCGGTGGAGTTTGGACGTTTCTGTAGAGGGAATCCAGAGGCTTGGATCTTTCAGGCAGAACGATATTTTGAATTTTACAAGATTGCAGAAGACCAGCGTTTGTCACTTGCTTCTTTCTATCTGGACGGGGATGCATTGGAATGGTATCGGTGGCTTTTTCGGAATAAACAACTGGTGGATTGGGAGCACTTTGCTTCGAAAGTGAGGATCCGTTTCCATAAAAAGGGATTGGAGTCCGCTGAGGGACGTTTAGCGAAGCTCCGGCAGATGACCACTGTCTCCGATTTTCAGTCCAGATTTGAGATCATTGCAAACGAGACTGACGACATGGATGATAACCGAATGGTACGTCTCTTTATTTCTGGGCTTCGTGAAGATATTAAGAACTCTGTTTTGGTCCATAAGCCTAAGAGTTACGAAGAGACACTTAATTTAGCCCATATACATGAGCGACGGATCCAAGCGGAGAAAGGACCCGTTAGGCCAGCTTTTGCCAGATCAACTTCCATTTTGCCTACCCCAAATTCTGCAACCCTAAATCAAAATCCCTCATCTTCTTTAACACCTTACAGTGCCTCACCTTCCTCTTCAAATCGCACTCTTCTTAGAAGGCTCACTCATGCAGAGCTCCAGAGCCGCCGTGAGCGAGGATTATGTTATTATTGTGAGGAGAAGTACTCATCGGGACACAAGTGTAAGAAACCCCCACAACTTATGTTGCTCACTGATGGATCCGATTTGGACCCTAACTTGCCAGAACCGTTTGTCGATGAGGATTTCTTAGTGGAGGAATCACAAGGTTTAGAATTACAAGAGCAATCATCTATTTCTTATCATGCCTTATCTGGGGGAATTTCACCCTCCACATTACGATTCACTGGAAAGGTAAATGGGTCACCAGTCCAAGTTTTAGTGGATGGCGGAAGTACTCACAATTTTGTGCAACCACGTGCGGCCAAACAACTTCAGCTCAAAGTTGAGGTCATTCCCCGTTTTGCAGTTATGGTGGGCAGTGGACAAAGGCTCTTGTGTGAAGGTGTGGTGAAGCAACTCACCGTATTGATTCAAGGGTGTACTATAGTCGAGGACCTTTATGTCTTACCTTTCCAAGGTGCTGATGTAGTCCTTGGAGTGGCATGGTTGGCTACGTTGGGGCGTGTTATAACTGATTATGCAGCAAGAGAATTTGAATTTACTTTACTTGGGTCTAAGTGGTTATGGCAGGGGGATTCACCCACTGATGCTCACCAAATTCAGTTGCATAGTTTAAGGCGTATGACAACGACGGATGCTATTGCTTCATTTTTTTTTTGGCAATGATTACTCCTGAAGGGAGTTGTGCAGGTGAAACCATATAGGTACCCGCACTTCCAAAAGCAGGTCATGGAGCAGATGGTGAAAGATATGCTTAAAGATGGAATTATACGGCCCAGCACCAGTCCATTTTCATCACCGGTGTTATTAGTTCGTAAGAAGGATGGCACATGGCGCTTTTGTGTTGATTATCGGGCACTCAATGCCATCACAGTTCGAGATCGCTTCCCTATTCCAACCATTGATGAGTTGTTTGACGAATTACATGGTGCTCAAGTCTTTTCAAAGTTGGACTTGTTATCAGGTTACCATCAAATAAGGGTCAAGATTGAGGATGTGGCTAAGACAACCTTCCGTACTCATGACGGTCATTATGAATTTTTAGTGATGCCGTTTGGATTGACTAATGCCCCATCGACATTTCAAGCTACTATGACTGAGATTTTTCGTCCACATATGCGTCACTTTGTTCTGGTGTTTTTCGATGATATATTGGTCTATAGTGCATCTTGGAGTGATCATTTGGAGCATTTAGCAGTGGTATTGCAGTTGTTGAGGCAACATCAACTTGTGGCTAAACGCTCGAAATGCTTGTTTGGTCAGTCCTCTATTGATTACCTCGGCCACATCATCTCTGCTCAAGGACTCTCAGTAGATCCAGACAAAATCAATACCATTGGGCAGTGGCTGCCACCAAGATCAGTGAAGGAAGTTCGTAGTTTCCTTGGGCTAGCTGGGTATTATCGCAGGTTTATTCACCATTATGCAGCTATTGCAGGTCCCTTAACTGACCTGTTGCGCAAGGATTCCTTCAAATGGACAGCAGTTGAGCAACATGCTTTCAACACTTTAAAATCTCGATTAAGCTCTACCCCTGTTTTGGCCTTGCCCAATTTCAGTCAGGAGTTTCAGGTGGAAACTGATGCATCTGGGCGAGGTATTAGAGCTATTTTGTCACAACAAAGCCACCCTATTGCTTTCTTTAGCCAAAAGTTAAGCTCTAGGATGCAACAAGCTTCAACGTACCACCGAGAGATGTTTGCCATTACTCAAGCTGTGAGTAAATGGCGACAGTACCTATTGGGGCGTCAGTTCACTATCCTTACTGATCAACAATCACTGCGTAACTTAACTACCCAAACTATACAGACCCCTGAGCAACAAAAATGGCTCACTAAACTTGTCGGCTATGACTTTCGTATCTTGTATAGTCCTGGAAAACAGAACACAGCAGCAGATGCCTTGTCGCGTACTTCAGAGGCTGTTCTCATGACTATTTCAGTCAATTCTTTTGCTATAAAGGCTGATTTAAAGCAGCTGAATCAGACCAACCCCGAGTTAGTAGCAATACAGCAAGCCTTGAATCTTGGGGATAAAATTTTTGATGATTATCAGTTCAAAGAAGGGATGTTATTTTATAAAGGCAGGATAGTGATTCCCTCGGACTCTCCCTTACGTCATAAATTACTACTTGAGTTCCATGCTACTGCTATAGGAGGACATGCCGGGGTTGCGCGCACATTCCATCGTTTGTCATCTAATTTCTTTTGGAAACGGATGCGCACGGATGTACAAACTTTTGTGGCTGCGTGTCATATATGTCAGCAAATGAAAGATTCTCACCTACATCCTGCTGGGCTACTCCAACCATTGTCGATTCCAAACCAGGTCTTTGAGGATATTGCAATGGACTTCATTACTTGTCTTCCGAGCTCAAAGGGAAAGACCACGATCATGACAGTCATCGACCGTCTCACTAAGTACGGTCATTTTATTCCATTGTCATCTACTTTCTCGACTCATACAGTAGCTGAGGCCTTTGTGGTGGGTATTATTAGGCTCCATGGCCCTCCTCGTTCTATTGTGACAGATCGTGATCCGCGGTTCTTGCATTCTTTTTGGCAAGAGATTAATCGCTTGCAAGGATCCACTTTAGCCATGAGTACAGCCTATCATCCTCAAACAGATGGACAATCTGAGGCTCTTAACAAATGTGTGGAACAATATTTGCGTTGCTACGTCGCTGAGGTGCCTTCCCAATGGGTTGCCATGGGCAGAATTTTGGTATAATACTTCATATCACACTTCAGCTGGTATGACCCCCTTCCAGGCACTATATGGTCGTGAACCTCCTACTGTTGCTAGGTACATTTTGGGGAGTAGTGCGAGCGAACTGGTTGAGTCCTATCTGTTGCAGCGGGATGAAGTCTTGCACATCCTCAAAAACAATTTGTTGAAGGCTCAGAATCGCATGAAGCGGTTGGCTGATAAGTCTAGGACTGATACCTTCCTTGAGGTGGGTGATTGGGTGTATGTCAAGCTTAAGCCCTTCAGACAGAATACTCTACGTTTGCAGCGAGATCATAAGCTTGGGAGGCGTTATTTTGGGCCCTATCAGGTGTTAAAACGCATTGGTCCTGTTGCTTATCGCTTGGAACTGCCTGAATCTGCAAAAATCCATTCTGTTTTCCATATTTCTATGTTGAAGAAATGTGTTGGCACTCCGGATCAGCAAGTGACTCCTCTACATCTGAGTGTTCCTACTACAGAAGATCTCCCTAAGTCCAACCTTGAGGACAAGGTTGCTTTCCAGGAAGGGAGTAATGTTGTGAATGAGACAATTGTTGACTGGGATACCACTCAGGATGAGCACGTGGGACTGCCACGTAAGACTGCTAGAAAGGTCATTCCTCCTAAAAGACTTGGTGATTACGTGTGGAAAGGGGGAAGTTCACGTAAAAAGGGGTAAAATTGGCAAAGCAGTAGGCATAAAGCATCGTGAGTGGAGCAGTGCAGGGCAGAGTACTTTTTGTTATCACTGGACACTCTTTCTCTCTCAATTTCTTCTAAGTTCCTCACCTCCTTCTTCTTCTATCATTAGTTTTGCTACTCCTGCAATTTCCTCTTGTATTTCTGATTCTAGGGACTTCAATATATCTACTACTTGTAAGTTGAGAT